CTTGTGTCTGGTTGTTTTGGCGCACAGTGACCTGTAACATTGTCCAGAGGGGAGGAGTTCAAACAGCTTGTGTCCAGTATGTGAGGGCTCTACAGAAATCTTGCCTGCCCTCCTTTTGACCCATGAAGTGTGCAGGTCCTCCATGGAGGGCAGGCTGGCAAAGATGATTCTTTCTGCAGTCCTGACTGTCCACTGGAGTCTGTTCCTGTCCTGTTTGGTTGCTGAACCAAACCAGACAGTGATGGAGGTGCAGAGAACAGACTTGATGATTCCTCTGTAGAACTGTTATCAGCAGCTCCTGGGGCAGGTTGCACTTCCTGAACTGGCACAGGAAATACATTCTCTGCTGTGCCTTCTTGATGATGGTCCTGATGTTGGACGTCCACTTCAGGTCCTGGGAATTAGTGGAGACCAGGAACTTGTAGGACTTTACTGCTGATACTGTGCTGCTGACTACTGTGAGAGGGGGTAGGGTGGTAGGGTCACCTCCTAAGATCCATCTCCACTGTTTTCAATATCTTCAGCTCCAGGTTGTTACAACCACATGACAGGACCAGCAGCTCAACCTCCCGTCTGTAGGCTGACTCGTCACCGTCTCAGATGAGACCAATGACCGTTGTGTCATCTGCAAACTTTAGGAGCTTGACAGAGGGGTCCTTCGACATGCAATTGTTGGTGTAGAGTGAAAACAGCAGCAGGGAGAGCACACATCCCTGGGGGAACCTGTGCTGATAGTCTGGGTGCTGGATGTGGTTTTCCCCAGCCTCACGTGCTGCTCCCTGTCTGTCAGAAAGCTAGTAATCTACTGACAGGTGGGGGCAGGCACAGTGAGCTGGGTCAGTTTAGAGTGGAGGATGTCTGGGATGATGGTGTTGAATGGCAAGCTGAAGTCACATAGAGGACTCATGTGTAGGTCATGGGGAGTAAGGTTGTTATTTACAAAATCCGGTTGTTCAATTGAAAAATAAATCTGCTGGATTAATGATGTCTGAAAAAAGTATGTCCCTTTTTGTATTTCACTATAAAATCAGTAGATGGCAGCAAAGGCTAAACCCTGATAAACTCTGTAGTGGCGTGCTGAGATTAAAACAAACAACAACAACAACAAAAGTATTGTAAATGACCGGATTATGTGAACCACACAAAGTGTCTTTTAGAATGTGATCAATATATGCTCATCTCTAATATCTGTATGGCAGAAATATGCTGCTTGTCAGCGTCAAGTCAAGACCTCTGTGACTGAAACAGCGCTGACTAATATTTCTCTTAGCAACAGACCCCCTCTTTCTCTCTCTCTTTCAGACCAACACCCACCCAACACACACACAAGCAGAATTAATCTGGATTTGGTGGGTGGAAGATTGCTTCATTTGATGGAGAGCCAACCTCATGACATTATATAAAGGTTTTTTTCCCTCTCATCTATACACACATCAGTTGTCATGTGACAGTCCAGATTTCTCAAAAGGAAATACCATAATTTTATAGACTATGCTGCTACGGCTAACTCATTGTAACAGGCTACGAGAAGCAGTTTAATTTGATCATAATTTTATTTGTTGGATAGATAAAACACTGTGAATGTGATGCATGACACAAGACTGTAGCATTTAAGGGTGTTTAGTTTGCTCCCTTTGATTTTGATATATGGCCTTGACTGTTATTGACCTATATGGATTTTACAAACTTACTTATTTATAAATGTAAACATTTTCATGCAAAAAAAACCCAAACATGTTCAGTATTTGAACTGTCATTTCATTCTTGGTAGAATGGAAAAACTTTGGTATCATCATGTTATGCTAACAATCTACATTATTCTCTGATTAAAACCCAGACTAAAGGAAATTCTAAATGAAAAATAGTTAAACATTTTGGAAAATATTAAATATATTCTTTGCCTCATAAAACTGATAATGATCAAGCAAGATATGCCCTTTAAATCACACATAAACCAAGTCTCTAGAACTGCCTTCTTTCACAAAAATCAGTAACATCCTCTCTCAAACTAATGCTGAAAAACTGGTCCATGCATCTGTTACTTCCAGGCTGGACTACTATAACTCTTTACTATCAGGATGTCCCAATAATTCCCTAAAAAGCCTCCAGTTAATCCAAAATGATCCACCCAGAACACTGACAGGAACTAGCAAGAGAGATCACATCTCGCCCATATTAGCTTCTCTCCACTGGCTCCCTGTAAAATCCAGAATATAATTTAAAAGTAGAATGGGAGGCAGAGCCTTTAGCCTTCTTTTCCTGTCCTGTGAAACTAGCTCCCAGTCTCAGTTCAGGAGGCAGATGCCCTCTCTACCTTTAAGATTAGACTTAAGACTTTCCGTTCTGATAAAGCTTATAGTTTGGACTTACCTTAGTTATGCTGCTACAAGCCTAGGCTGTAGTGGGTACTGATATGGAGTCCCTTACCTCCGTAGTGGAGAAGAGGACCCCCAGTAAGCTGCTGTCCATCCTGGACCCTGTTCATCACTCTCTGCACAGCACCATCAACAGGTAGAGGAGCTCATTCAGCAGCAGGCTGCTGTCTCTCTCCTGCTCCGTAGACACACTGAAGAAGTCATTTCTCTCAGGTCTTTTCAGCTTTTCCCAGTGAGGATGTCTGATCTGACTTTGGGACATGGACGTGTCACTACTCAACTCCATAATATTATGATCCCACTTCACTATAACACTGTACTAATGCCCAGTTTACCCTTGTTTTTTTCCTTTGCACATAATGTTTGCATTTGTTTTTATCCTTGCACACAGTGTTGAGTCCTGCACATATTGGCATTATACACAGGTACCTCATGCACATATACTTGTTATGTATACCCTATGTATATTGCATACCTTACTTTTATTTTTACATTTTTTTCTTGTAGTTTTTTTTTTTATACTTTTTTCCTTGTATTTTAGTCTTACTCTTTTTTACATTTCTTTACTTAGGGTGCTGTGATTTTGTTAATCATTGCTCTTGCTACTGGATATCTGAACTTTATAATGGGAAGAGTCCTACTCAACTACCAGACTTGAAAACAATAAATTCACAATGAAAACCTACTAAGAATCCAGCACTGTGATGCAACCATTTCGCACATATTATCACACAGTCCTGTGTGAGGAGAGTTCTTTTCACCTGCAGCTAACTTTGCTCAGATGTTAAGTCTTATGTGATGGTTGTGCCTGTAAGTGACCAAATGTGTACCTGTCAGGGTCATCAGCTGGGTTGGGGCTTGTATAGCTGGCTGGCCAATGTGTGTGAAGTGATGGAGGGACTTCAGAGAGTTGTCAGTGTTTGGAAATAAAAAGGAATTGACTGACTTCTTTTTCTTCTGAAATTGTGCAGCTTTGCAATAAACATTAAATGGCTACAACAACAAATTAGCAAATGAACAGTCAGCGATAATGGAAGCAAACAGGAAGCACCTGCTTACAATTTGTAAATTATACATTTTTTGATTTATGATACATTAGCAGAAATGTCAAAAAATATGTCACCATGGGTTATTACATCTAGTTTGAAAGCCAAAAATGGCATTTTTACATTTCAAATTAATTTTACAATACAATAAATTGTGCTTCAACAGTGGCAATGTCCGATGCATGGATATTATTTAGCAAACTGCCGCCCAGAACAAGATGAAAAGGACATCACAATCCACTAGGACAGACCACATAAAGGTGAGATTTGTACTTTATTAGAAGTTCTTTCAAACATCGTGAAGTGTTTTCAAACATTTTTCAAGAGAAAAAACTTTAATGGTCACGACAGTGTGGCTGCTTTTGCATATGTGCATCTGGTTTCTTTGGCCATCTCTGTTAAAGTGCAATGCACAGCCATTTATCTTGTGTTTCTGTGGCATGCATTCATCTGAATGGGACTAGGAAGTCAACAAAAATGTGTGGGGAATTGAGGAATTATAAATCAGAAGAATCATAAATATATATTCTTATATCCTTTAGTAGTGCAAGCTGGCACACATCAAATGTAACTGATGAAAAAAGTTCAAACTTGTTGGCTATAACCATGTCTCAGAAGAAATAATTGCCTATAAGAGCATTGTTTCAACAGAAATACAAGTGTGCTGCCTGATTTATTATTCCAACAAATCCACATGGCAGCCCTATATTATATATCGTTAATTTAAATAGGTTGCAGTTTAAATCTTGCATCATATCCAGCTGTCTTTATTGATTTTCAAATGCTCAGAAATATATTCTCATCACTCTTGCAGTTGATTACTGATGTTAATGTGGTCAAAATCAGAATCAGAATCAGAATCATGTTTAATAGCCAGGTATGCTTGAACATATAGGAATTTGACTCCAGTATGAAGGCTCTCAGACAACAGTAAATAGAAATTATTAATACAAATCAGCACCACAGAGCCACAGCACCACATAGAAAGCAATGCCACAGAGTTACATTGACTTGGCTGCTATCTTCCAAAGTAAGAATTTGATATCAATAGCCATCATTATGCTTCTGACATTTGAAGTTAGCAATATGTGACAAAACATGTTTTACAACCTTTTTGACTGTCTCTCTCAAATATTGTGTCAATATTGTGTGAAATTTAATAATCAGCTATCTAGCTAACTAGCTAAATTTAATGAGCTATCTACAACAACAGAACCCAGAATTAGTTTGCAAGGCTGTACAAGTCATTAAAAGTAGTAATTGCTGATAAATCCCGTAGTTCTCTGCAGCAAACAATGGATCTTAATCACAGTTTGGAACTATTTGAAGGTACAAAAGTAATGTGACCTGCTGCCATTTTTGTCCCCCTCAGTGTTGCAACTCTAATCTTAACTGCTCTGGTTATGGCACAGTTTTACAAAATACATTTTTAACAGTAAAAAGTATCAATATATGTGATAGGTATATCGCTGATCCCGGACTGGTACTACTTGGCATAGAATCGACACTAAAGTTTGTATTATCGGCCACTCTTACAACAGGCCAGTTTATTTATTCATTCATTCAAATATTTATCATGAGCCCGTCAGTAACTTCCTGTTTCCACAAATGACGTCACACGGGTAACATTCAACAAACAATTTCGAAACCGAAACTGCGGATAACTTGAAAAACAACTCTTCGTTATTGTGGTGGTCACTAGATGCAAATATCTTACATATTTGTCACCTACTCGAGCATCGGATAGAGTTGACAATCAACGAATTTTAGCTGTCCCACTCATATTTGAGGAGCGAAGAAAGCTAGCAGGGCTGCTAAGTTAAGCTAACGTTAAGTGGATATCCAGCTGGGAACTAGCTAGCGAGTTAGCAACAAAAACTCGAAAGCACTTAGTAATTTAACAGAAAGCTCAACGTCTATCAACATGGAGAATAAATATAACCTCAAGAGTCCAGGTAAGCTTACCTCCAAATGCTGCTTTTTTTTTTTTTATTCTGCAGCTGGCAGCGAGTTTGCTAACATGACTTCCACATCGGAAACCCACCACTTCACTTTTTACATTACTTGATTAATATACAGTAGTTAAGACCGTAAAAATAAAATAACTACATTGACACGAGACGTATGTGAAGTACAGTAACCTATTATGTGTTGGTATTTGTGTTCAATTATGCTCTTCTACTTGTCTATTCTATATGGAGAGCATTTTAGTTGTTGTACTGTGCAATTGTCAGAAATAAAACGTAGTTATAGCGCTGGTATAGGTTTGTTCCTGGGCTACGTGTACATAGTGCGGAGTTGTGTCGCGTTAGCCTTTGTTTAAGACACGTCTGCCTATGTTGTTTCAGTCAAGACACTTCGAAACAATAATTACAGGTGGAACAACTAGCCCAAGCTGGCATTTGGTACACAAAACATGAGCTAGAGGGGGTCAGCAGGGTGATTAAAATGATTTGCTAAGATATTTAGTGGCATTGTGCGTTATACAGACGACAGATTATATTCCAAGCAACAAGTGAGTCGCAGGTAGTATTAAAACTCCACATGCCTCATTGCTGCTGCTAAGTGAATAGCTAAACAAACGTGAAGCTGCTGTTGGTATTGTGTCACTTAATGGACATAGCAATAACACTATCAGGCCATTGGAATTGTGATTTTGCAAGGTGGTATGTGGAAGATTTGGCTTTAAGATGAATTCATTCTATTACACTATGTGACTTCTTGGACATTGTTTAATTTATCATTTTAAAGTGCTCCCTGACTACAGCTATGGTGGTTGGAAGATTTGTTGACAAATAAAAACTATATAAGACTATCCATCCATTTTCATCCGCTTTATCCGAGACCGGGTCGTGGGGGCAGTAGTCTGAGCAGAGCCTCCCAGACTTCCCTCTCCCCACACACCTCCCCTAGCTTCTCAGGAGGAACCCCAAGGTGTTCCCAGGCCACCCGGGAGACATAGTCTCTCCAATGTGTCCTGGGTCTGCCCTGAGGCCTTCTCCCGGAGGGACATGCCCGGAATACCTCCCCAGGGAGGCGGCCAGGGGGCATCCTAAACAGTTGCCCGAGCCACCTCAACTGCAGCGGCTCTACTCTGAGCTCCTCATGGGTGAATGAGCTGCGCACCCTACCCCGAAGGGTGCGCCCAGCCACTCTCTGGATGAAAACTCATTTCTCCTGCTTGTATCTGTGATCTCATTCTTTCGGTCATGATCCAAAGTTTACGGCCATGGGTGAGAGTAGGAACATAGGTCGACAAATATATTGAGAGCTTCGCCTTATGACTCAGCTCCTTCTTTACCACAGTGGACCGGTACAGAGACGGCATTACTGCGAACACTGCACCGATCCGCCTGTCAACCTGCCGCTTCATTTTTCCCTCACTTGTGAAAAAGACCCCGAGAAACTCCTTCACTTGAGGGAGCAACTCGCCTCCAACCCAGAGAGAGCAGTCCACCTTTTTCCAATTGAGAACCGTGGCATCGGACTTAGAGGTGCTAATTCTCATCCCCGCTGCTTCACACTCGGCTGCAAACCCCTCTAGTGCCCGCTGTAGGTCTTGAACTAATGAAGCTGACAGAACCACATCACCTGCAAAAAGCAGGGATGAGATTCTGTTGCCACCAAAACAGATGCCCTCTGTTCTCTGGCTGCACCTAGAAATTCTGTCCATAAAAATAATTAACAGAATCGATGACAAAGGGCAGCCTTGGCAGAGTCCAGCATGCACCGGAAACAGGTCGGACTTACTGCCAGTAATGCGAACCAAGCTCCTACTTTGGTCATACAGGGAACGGACAACCCGTAACAATGAGCCCCGCACCCCATAATCCTGAAGTACATCCCACAGGATGCCACGAGGGACATGGTTGAATGCCTTCTCCAGATAAACAAATCACATGTAGACTGGTTGAGCAAACTCACATGAACCCTCCAATACCCTAGTGAGGGTATAGAGCTCGTCCAGTGTTCCATGGCCGGGGTGAAAACCGCACTGTTCCTCCTGAATCTAAGGTTCGGCTATTGGCCGGATTCTCCTCTCCAGTACCCTGGCATAGACTTCTTGGGGAGGTTAAGAAGTGTGATCCCCCCGGAGCCTTGCCACCGGAGAGTTTTTCTTTTTTTTTTTTTTTTAACTGTCTTGGCAACTTCAGCCAGGGTAATGGACAAGTCCCCTCCCGAGTGCCCAGCCCTGGCTTCCTTTACGGAAGGCGTATTGGAGGGTTTGAGGACATCTTCAAAGTACTCCTTCCACCAGCCGATGACATCCTCAGTTGAGGTCAGCAACACACCACCTCTCACTGTAAACAGTTTTGGCAGAACACTGCTTCCCCCTCCTGAGCCCCTGGACAGTTTTCCAGAATCTCTTTGAAGCCAACCAAAAGTCTTCCTCCATGGCCTCACCAAACTCCTCCCAGGCCTGAGTTTTTGCCATGGTGACTGCCAGAGCTGCGTCCTGCTTGGCCTGTCGGTACCTGCCAGCTGCTTCAGGAGTCTCATGAGCCAACCAGACCCAATAGAGCTCCTTCTTCAGCTTAACGGCATCCCTTACTTGCGGCGTCCACCACCATGTTTGGGGATTGCTGCCATGACAGGCACCGGAGACCTTACGGCCACAGCTCCTGACATTGGAGGTGTGGGACACAGTCCATTCGGACTCAATGTCCCCAGTCTCCCTCGACACCTGTTTGAAGCTCTGCCCCTCTCTTCGTCGAAGTGTCCATAACATATGGCTGAAGATCAGAGGAAATGACTACAAAGTCGATCATCGACTTACAACCTAGGGTGTCCTGGTAGCATGTGCACTGATAGACCCCCCCCATGTTTGAACATGGTGTTCATTATGGATAAATCATGACTAGCACAGAAATCCAATAACAACTCACCATTCAGTTTCAGATCAGGGAGGCCATTCCTCCCAATCATTCCCTTCCAGGTAGCCACGTTGCCCACGTGGGCGTTAGTCCCCCAGTGGAATGACAGAGTCCCCTGTGGGAGCGCTTTCCAACACGCCCCCCAGGGACCCTAAATAGGCCGGGTACTCTACACGGCCATTAGGTGCATAAGCACAAACGACAGTTAGAGACCCTTCTCTGAAAGAAAGGCGCAGGGAAACGACCCTCTCATCCACCGGATTGGGATTTTTAAAGCTGAGTAAAACAACAAAGGCTTATTTACTGTAAAATGTGTATGTGAGCTGTGGTGACGAAAGCAGGAAAGACAACAATCATTTCCACCATTAGAAAAGGAAATGCTGCATTCCACCATCTCAGTGTACATAAAAATAAACAAATCACCAAGCTCACACATAAGCTTCTTGTGGTAAAATTAATTTAAATCCCGGCAGCAGTCAAAACTTGGTGTGTTCAGTCATTACCTGATATGATAAGAAAGAGCAAGACCAGTCTTGCAAACTTTGCTGCCACAGTGACATGTAGCCGAGTCTCATGAGAGCTTTAAATCAGCCTAAAAGCATAGCCTAAATGTTAATCCATCATAAATGCACAGAGTATCAGGTCATTCATTCCAAAGTAAATGATCGTTTAGAACCATAGCTAACTTTGTGATTTATCTCGCAGTCAATCCTAAACAGATATGCTCTGGAGTTTCATTATAAACTAAGCTTACTCACCATAACACCTTCCATCCATGTGGCCTAGCATGTTGAATGCATGTCCTTCATTATTAATAGTATGACATGTATATATTGCAGTGTTGAAAGCGCTCCCTTTTCTTCGCGAAGCTGCGCTAACAAATAGCACGACTAAACCTGTCGGTACCTGCCAGCTGCTTCAGGAGTCTCATGAGCCAACCAGCCCCAATAGAGCTCCTTCTTCAGCTTAACGGCATCCCTTACTTGCGGCGTCCACCACCATGTTTGGGGATTGCTGCCATGACAGGCACCGGAGACCTTACGGCCACAGCTCCTGACATTGGAGGTGTGGGACACAGTCCATTCGGACTCAATGTCCCCAGTCTCCCTCGACACCTGTTTGAAGCTCTGCCCCTCTCTTCGTCGAAGTGTCCATAACATATGGCTGAAGATCAGAGGAAATGACTACAAAGTCGATCATCGACTTACAACCTAGGGTGTCCTGGTAGCATGTGCACTGATAGACCCCCCCCATGTTTGAACATGGTGTTCATTATGGATAAATCATGACTAGCACAGAAATCCAATAACAACTCACCATTCAGTTTCAGATCAGGGAGGCCATTCCTCCCAATCATTCCCTTCCAGGTAGCCACGTTGCCCACGTGGGCGTTAGTCCCCCAGTGGAATGACAGAGTCCCCTGTGGGAGCGCTTTCCAACACGCCCCCCAGGGACCCTAAATAGGCCGGGTACTCTACACGGCCATTAGGTGCATAAGCACAAACGACAGTTAGAGACCCTTCTCTGAAAGAAAGGCGCAGGGAAACGACCCTCTCATCCACCGGATTGGGATTTTTAAAGCTGAGTAAAACAACAAAGGCTTATTTACTGTAAAATGTGTATGTGAGCTGTGGTGACGAAAGCAGGAAAGACAACAATCATTTCCACCATTAGAAAAGGAAATGCTGCATTCCACCATCTCAGTGTACATAAAAATAAACAAATCACCAAGCTCACACATAAGCTTCTTGTGGTAAAATTAATTTAAATCCCGGCAGCAGTCAAAACTTGGTGTGTTCAGTCATTACCTGATATGATAAGAAAGAGCAAGACCAGTCTTGCAAACTTTGCTGCCACAGTGACATGTAGCCGAGTCTCATGAGAGCTTTAAATCAGCCTAAAAGCATAGCCTAAATGTTAATCCATCATAAATGCACAGAGTATCAGGTCATTCATTCCAAAGTAAATGATCGTTTAGAACCATAGCTAACTTTGTGATTTATCTCGCAGTCAATCCTAAACAGATATGCTCTGGAGTTTCATTATAAACTAAGCTTACTCACCATAACACCTTCCATCCA